GCTCATCCTTTGGATTCGCTGACCCTTTTCTGAAAGACTTTTCCGGATGCTGAACACATTCAGAGACTTCGAAAGAGAAAAAACGCACTGCGATTGCTACTAGTGCTCAACTGAATCATGGTACTATGTCACACACTAGAATGAATAGGATGCAAAAGTCTTTTCAGGAATCAGACCGATTAGCCATTTGTCAGTGGATAATTCTCCAGCACTAACTATTTTGACTGAAAAATTCATCGCTCAACGGCTAGTCAGACGGCCACTCACGGTGAACCATTAACCTTTGTCCTCTGTTTTTCTATTTTCACATCACACGCATGGAAATTTTCATAAATGCTTTACTAAGTCACTCATGCACGGACGACATACAGTAGACTACTTGAAAAGTTTGAACATTCGCTTGTGTCTTCCACCGATAAACCGATTCTGTTCTCTCCTGTCAAACGAAATGATACCTTGTCGAATATTTTCATTGAGGAATATCCATTCGTGAAATCCCTTTCAAAACTATCGGAAGCCTGGCAAGGTTATTCTAAGCGTAAACTTTAGGATTAATCTAACATTTAAACGCCTAGTCGTTCGTCGACCTCCTTTCAGTCGGCCACTCACGGCTAGCCGTTGACGCACATGATCAGGTTTCATAGTTTTTTCATAAAAAGAAGTAGCTCGTTGATACTGAGACGATCTGTGATCGAAGTTATCAAAATCTTTCGTGACTGTGTAATTTACAGCACATATTCTATCGCTCTGTTCAATTTGAAGCACTGATAATGTGCAATCCCTATTCTCGAAGCTCGAAAGCACATCAATTATGTTCGTTCAAAAACCATTGGCTTTAGTTGAGACAGTGATAAATCTCATCGTCCAAGTAATTTTCAAAATAAACGTCTAGTCGTTCGTCGACCTCCCTCCGGTCGGTCACTCACGGATAGCCGTTGCCATGCTGTCTCTGTTATTCCTTTCGCCTTCACTCGACTTTCAAACTGAACGATTGGGTTTTCTTTTATTGTCGCTTCTACAGTCATGATATTCTATTCATTCGACTACCAAAAGAAACTAGATAAGAAAGTCTTATTCTATGATTTGCTTCGAAACGAACATCTTTCATAGCGCTGTATGTGTTCAGAATACTGTTTCTACAGTCCACGCGTCTGTAGTTACTAAGATGGAATTCCACCGACGGCTATATCGCTTTGCGAACTACTTCTAGTAAATTCCCATGAAAGGACATGATGTGTGTAGCCTAAAAAGCAAAGATGACACTAAGCTCATATCGCTTTTTCGGATTTCTTGAATTAGAAACATCATTATGTACAATGCATCAGATCTTTTCATGTAAGTTCTTGAGCTGCTATCTTTGTACGCATGAGGCCCGTGAATAACGTTCAGCTCACCATCATCTACAAAAGATTTTAGAACAGATAATGAAAAATATTTCCTTTGTAAGAGGAGGAAACAAGCCCAGGCACAGCGAATAAAACGAAATTCACCCTCAAATTCGAATTTCCCGACGTCAGAAATCCTTCGGTCTAATCTGACAATGGATGTTAATAAGTCGTGGCTAGTTAATGAAAAACTAATAATTAATTAATCAACAGTAACCTCGGATTCGTGATCCTCGACCCCGATTACCCTTCGGTCGACTCTTACTCGAAAACGAAGAAAATTTTCATTCATTAATTAGCTAATGAGCTGATTGGAATTTCGAGAAATCAACCTCAGATTCAAGTTCCCCGACTTCGATTACCCTACCGGTAATCATTTTTTAACAACTATCGATCAATTTCATTGATTTTAGAAATCCTGATTTCTGATTGGATAGGACAGACTGACAGACAAACTTTAAGCTTTTTAACACAGCATTTAAACGCTGTATAACTCTTTCTTTCAGAAAAGGGAATAATAATATCAATAAATGTATCATTCTTTAAATCAACTAAATGAATTGATATTGGTCGTGAAATACCTGTTGAGAGTTCAATTTGATCTTCGAAAGATCCATTACCAAAGCCATAAAAGATTCCAATCGTATGAGTACCATAATTTGCAACTGCAATATCTAAATTTAAATCATTATTATAAGATCATTCACAGCAACCATCATTGGATTTGAATTGACACCAGTTGAGTATTGACTTTGTTTGGAGAACATTCCATTCACAGATCCGAAAGATATAACAATAAGATGAACGAATGAATTAGCAATAATAATATCAATCCAACTATCTTCATTAAGATCACCAATAACAACAGATTGTGGACCGTAATTGTATTCGATTGGATTTGTAGCTATTCGTGCAAAATTTAACCCGCATGTCGGTACTAAATAATACCAAAAATAATATTAACACGAAGTCTCTCAATACATTGATGCAGTTACTCTTATTATTCTTTATCAATTATCAGTAAAATAAGAACATATCAGTAGCATGATCAAAGGTGGGCGTGATTCAGTGTCGCCTAACCATCGATCATTTTCTTTACGGTGAACATAATAATGACAACAGGTGGAAGGGCGATTGTCATAGTTTTACGTGTTTCTCGCTTATTTTCTTGAACGTTTTAATGAGTTATCTGTTGAAAAAACCACCCTTGAAGTCCTGGTTATTCTATTAGAACATACTCAGACGTTTTGGTATAGTATGACAAACGATTACAATGCCAATTATCGTTACGATACATAAAAAGAAAGAAAACATCACACTAACAATAGTTTGATTTGGAATTGAAAAGGCAAAGCATTTCCTAGAAAAATATACAATTCAACATCATTAATCACATCAAAATAAAAAGGCATACAGATTCGATGATGATCGAGATGTTTCTTTCACATCACTATTGTTCGTATTATTCATTTTTACAATTTGTGTATGAGAAAAAGTGAATTGGAATTTTCATTATTAGAAATCATTTCAATCTAAATTTAAAGTAAATAACATTTAAGAAGGATTTCTCTTTGATGATGAACTAATCGTTTTATATTTGCTTCATATTCGATGGCCTTTTTTCTATTAATTACAAATTCTTAGCGCAGTTAATCCAAAAAATGAAAGAAAGAAACTTTTAGAAATGCAAATTCACTCCATTGATTGCTCAGATTATCATTCTAATTACAAATATAATTATATAATCATTCAACAAGTATATCAGAAACAGAGTCGTTCCTTATTCATATTAACCGTCTACTGGGTCATTGAAAAGTCAAATAATTATGAATTCTATACCAAACATGACTGTCGTTTGTTTATATGTTTTATGGTAACAGTATATCTACACAAATTAAAGTCAATTTCAAGGCAAATAACATCATATGACAACCACTTCTGCTGCGCTAGTAAAAAGTGTATCCGACTTAACTTCTAAAAATTCTACCGAGAAACGGTTTTATCACACCCTCTAACTGTTATGATGATTTCGATGTTTGAAGAAAACTTTATATTCGAAATTGTATTCCTAATTTATCGTAATATTTTCATGTGAAAAATATCATTTGTATATACACACGATAAAATAGTTTTATTACAATTATGATCTATTTTAGCGATTGACGACACACATTTCACGAACATTCGACAACATTCGTTTCAGTTCTACGCGAAAAGTTTTCGACACTAAGATGTTTGTATAGCAGCCAATGCTATTCTCGATGTAAAACACGAAAGTTATTAGTAAAAACACGTATTGTTCGATCAAGTTTCGCTCTGCATTTTTCTCAACATACCGTGTAACTTCTCGATAAATTAGAATGATCGTGATTGGAGTTTTACACAAAATGTAAGTGACGATTTCCACGAGCAACATTCGAATTAGTTGCCGATCCTTTGATTCAAGGATTCGTGGTCTGCCGACCACGACAACAACTGAATGTGTTGAGCGAGAATGTTGTGTGATATGACAGACTTTGCGAATATTTTTCACTGTCCAGCAGCCCAGAATAAACATGAACAGAGGTGGAATAACTCCACTGATTGACAACCCGTAGTAGGTGATAAACGTGCTATATGCACCTGGTGTAAAATAACAAACAGAATAGCCAGGTGCATATTGGATAATTTGCGAGTAAACCAGTGCGTGAACATGGAAAATTGCCCAGAACAAGCCAACACAAATAATACTTGTGATAGCTAGTCGACGTGAGCTTCGTTTTCTTGTCAGAGCGTTCGATGAAGTGACGAGTGTTCGATCGATAGAGGCCAAAATAAGACATGATGACTCCCAATTTGCCAACAGAAAACCCATATAGAATTGAAATCGGCAGAGGACGAGATTATTTCCAGTAAGATCCACGCCATAGCCTGATGAAAATATCGTCGGAAGAGGTATAAAATAGAGAAACATTAAATTAACACTGTTGACTGTGATTAAATAGATTGTGCATGGATTTTTGCGCAGTGTACTTTGTGTGAATACTAAGAGGTTCAATAGGCAGCTGGCCGTACCAACACCAATGAGTAGAGGACCGACGTACTTGAAAAGATTTTGTTGAAAGGCATAGAGAAATGCTGCTGCAGACATGACTGTGATGTGATAAAACTTAAATGAGACTAAAATTTGAAAAAAGTGGGGATGACGTTTATATAAGCCAAAGACGACATTCGTTAATCCTAGTATTCCAGGTGTGAAAGCTCTGCTGATTATGCAGAACATTAAAGACAATATAATCAGAGTTTGTACATTGCCTGAGAGAGAATTTGACATTTGAAGAGCTTAGTGAAACGATTATTTTCTTGTAATTATTTTTCATAGTTTTTGCTGATTAATTATTGTTCACAAGAAAGAAAAAACTACTTTAGTACGTGAATTATCTTATGCGTGGGCAATTAATAAAAACGCTGGTGCAGAATAGAAAAGACGGCATACAATAAATATATTTTTAGTCTCGCAAAAAGAAACAGACCAAGTTTATTGTATATGCAGGCAACGCTTTGAATATTTATTCAGAAATCATGAGTAAAGAGAAGGTGTGAAGGAAAAGACCAATAGTCGAGAATATGAGAGTACACAGCGTGACCTAGAGGTCAGAATCGTAAGCAAACTGGCGCCAAGAATCTATGATGATGAACACAATTCTGACAGAAAGAAACCAAAGGGGAAAAGAAGATCTGTAGTAATCTCTAAGGATATTCGTCGTATAATAGTAATGAATAGATTGTTCTAATTCCTTCATGTGAACAACACGTTGACATACGAGTTGGTTCATCTTCTTCAGTTGTCTTTAATTTGACACCGCTTTTATTATTCCTGTACGGCTGGAATCAAATGATCACGTATGCAATTCAGTAGACTAATCGATGCTTTGAGTCTTTCGATAGAAAGAAGATGGCGATTTCGTGGATCGAGAAATTATAAAAACTCAGACAAAAGTATGACATTCGATGAACCTTCTGGCGGAAAATTATTGTTCATAATCCACAACCTCTTATGATGGCACTCGATATCAAAGAATAATTAGTAGGCGTGCGTGATATGGCAGTTACTGCTCTATTTTTTTTTCATTTTAAGATGAAATTTCTCGGTAAAAATAGAAGATAGTTATTGAAAATTGACAAACGACATAACCGACGATGTCGATCTTTCGATTGGAGTGTTCAAGGTCTTGCAGTGACGGCAGTAGGTGAATTTTTCGTATGAATAGGTCGTGCGGTTTGGCGAACTCCACGAATATTCCTCACCGGCCAACATCCAAACATGAGCATAAGTAGATTGTGCACGGATTCTCTTTGAGCGTATTCTGTGTAAACACCATCAAATTCAATATACAACTGAGAGTACCTATGAATATAAGTTCAGGACCACGGTACTCGAAGTAGCTGTTGATATTATGTGATACATACAATAGAATAAGACTAAAATGAGTAGGAGGCGAACGAAAGTGCATCGTTTATATATGCTCCAGTGACGTAACTATAAGGCACGCATTTTGAAAAATATCAATAGCTGAAGGTTATCAGAATCAGTAAAATGCATATATAATCATCTCAACAGACACGATGACATGCCTATCATTTTACACCATGTCGCACCAAATAAAAATAAGTACTCAGTGAAGATGCAGAGCTTTAGTGAAATCCGACGTCAAGTTAAGATAATCCTTCGCTTAATTTTCTATAATACAGCCTGTAAATTCTATTTGATGTAGATAACTCCTTCCGCTTCTGAGATTATCTTTTCTATATTATATTTTTAATAAGAATTTAGTCGCCTTATTGTCACTATAGTTTCACTTCAATTGCATGTGTGACATTTGACGTGGAAATTATTTTGATAAACACTGTGAAAACTGCTCATAGTCGCTTGATGCACTCTATTTGATCCATAAGATATAGTCATGGTTAAATTTCTAGAAAAAAGTCTCCATTGATTAATTAATCGAATACGAACGCGATTATTCGTTTATTTATTTCATATATTTTAATAAATTTGATTGAATTGTTTCATTATAAAATGTCAGAAAACATTTCAAGTAAGATGTCTAGTAAACTGGCAAGATACTCATGNGATGCACTCTATTTGATCCATAAGATATAGTCATGGTTAAATTTCTAGAAAAAAGTCTCCATTGATTAATTAATCGAATACGAACGCGATTATTCGTTTATTTATTTCATATATTTTAATAAATTTGATTGAATTGTTTCATTATAAAATGTCAGAAAACATTTCAAGTAAGATGTCTAGTAAACTGGCAAGATACTCATGGAATATAATAATACTTCTGACAACTTTATCATCAACAAACATTTCCATATGACATTTCAATATACAAACTTTTTAAAATTCATTTGAACGAAAGCACTCGTTACAAATGTATTCTCAATATTGTGCCCGAAGTTCTTTCGTGAAAAATCTGAGTTTGTCTCTGCATATCATTTTTCAACTGGTCAGTTTGATCCACGGACAACTGAATCTATACCGAACAGATCGTACACAGATCTCTTCATTGCCATCGGATGCCTTTGATTGTTTATATTATTATGTTTTGGAGAATATTGTAATGTATAATCTAAGCTCGATAGATTTCAATCCAACGCATCAAATTATTCCATACTGTGTACGCACCAACCGTAAAGCATCGACTTCGGTCAATCCACTTGCCAATTCAACTGCATTCACATTTGGCGATTTACAAACATATGGAATAGAGGCATACGATTTATTATCATGGTCAGCACCTTTCGATCTCGTCGAACGTTATCAAGAATACGTGAACGACTTAACACCAAATAAGACTTCACATGACGTTTTTTATAATTGTAGTTGGCCGTGGTTTGGCGCGCTCTGTGAATATACGTTTTACTTGAACATGCACTCGTTTGAATCTATTGTGCGAATGATGTTCCTTGCCAAAGATTATCGAACCTCGGATAATTTCAAACCGACGATGGTGACGAATTTAACGTGTTATACGCATTTGAACTGCACTCGTGGGGCATTACCTGCATGTCTTGATTGGCGAGAAATATGTGATGGGCGAATCAATTGTTTAAACGATGGTGTTGATGAACAAAATTGCTTCCAACTCGAAGCTAATCAATGCAGTGACGACGAATTCCAATGTCGTAATGGAATGTGTATACCGGCCTCCTTTTTCGATGAAAATTCATTCGATCTCGACTGTATGGATGGCAGCGATGAGAGCAGATACCAGAGATTGAAAATGTTAGCTGAACCCCGCGTTTATTGTTTTCAAGATCCTGCTTTTCGATGTGAAGAAGTCTCCTATGCTGCTAGCTTTTTACATATGTTCTGCGGGGATGGACAAGCTTGTTCTATAAATTCACAAATTTGCTGTAAGAACGGTCGAGATTTCCTATTAAAAGAAATCATCGAGTCTTACGAAGAAAACAAGCATTTATCCAATGAATGTTGGCACGCATTATATTGTTCTACCAATCATGCAGTGCGGCTCACTGCTGAATGTTCCATATACTGTATTAAGAAAACAAATCAATGTATTATAAATATGACAAAAGTATGTTCTTCATCATTCGCCGTATATCCTCAAAAACCGGTTTTCGATGGTCATATTCGCTATGTGTACTTGACTAATCAAACACATATACTGCAGTAAGTTTTCCTTCCATTTAAGAGAGCATATCTCTTTGTGGCTATGCCTATTTTGAATATGATCTAACAGTATGCATGTTTAGACCAAAAGAGAGCGTATCTCCAGATTATTTCTGTTTTGACGAAAATCGGTGTCCCTTCATTAGAGATATTCTTCATATTGATGGATTATCATGTGTGACAAGCGAAGCAATGTCATTAGATCTCTTCGAATATAGTAGTTTGGATTTTTTTCAAGCGTGTTTTATCATCAATATGAGTGGAAATGACACACATTGTCGTGATTCATCGCTTTTCCATTGCCCTAACACATCGAAATGTATTTCTAAACAGCGATTGGTAGATATGAAGGTAGATTGTTTCGACGGAGCCGATGAAAAGTTCAATGCATCTTGCGCATTGGCGAAGGAAGCACATCGCTTCCGTTGTTCATCTGAAGAGAAGTGTATTCCATGGTTAAATTTTAGAAACAATATACACGATTGTTTCGACGGAGAAGATGAGCTCTCCTCAACAAATGAGCCAAGCAGCTTCTCTTTTCAGATTATATGTAGTGGATTTCAACATATCGATCTAATATCATTTGATGAAATGAACGAAACAGACGAAACAAATTGCGAGGAGTGGCCATGTAGTAATATATATACTCGATGTGATGGTGGATGGACTTGTTTAAATGGTGAAGACGAAATTGGATGCGATACTGTTTGGCAGCAGGTAGTTGAATGTCCTCCAAATCATCATCCATGCGTATCACCATCGAATTTGACGAAAATATGTCTACCAATCACCCAATTCAATGATTCAGTGGTTAATTGTCTTGGAGCGCTGGATGAACTAGCGTATTGTCGACAGCAAATGGGGCAAACAGATCACAAACTGGCCACATACAGATGTTGGAATGA